TGAGTGGTAGAGCACTTCTGGGTTCAATTCCTAGTACCACAAAAATCCAAAAAACAAAACAAAAAGAGCATGAAGTTACTTATATATCCCAAAAGCCACAAACAACTTCACCTTGAGGAAAAAAAAAAAAAAAAAACCACAAAATATTAGTTCAATAACTAAAATGATCCAGTTTTCTAAAACATATTTTAAAACCTAAGTAATAGATATAGGACAATGAAATACCTTAGATTTAAGTCTCATCATTGTTCAGTGAATAGAAGAGTATAAATAACTTGCTAGATTAAAAAAAAAAAGAAAATAAAAAACAATGAATCTGGCTAAGATGTATACAGTTTACAAATATTCTAAGTCTTGTGTCAAGGACTTACTGGCCTTGCTCTAGAAATTGACATAGAATGAAGAAATTACATTGAAAGAAAAAAAATTTTAAGTCTACAGTCTACACCCTGAATGCACCAAAGATCATCTTGAATGAAAAATTTTTTTGAAAACAAATAATTATAGGTGTCTCACATGTATAATCCCAGTGACTCAAGAGACTAAAAGAAGGATCTCAAGTTCCAGGCCAACCTCAGCAACTTAGCAAGACTTTGTCTCCAAATAAAAACTAAAAAGGGCTGGGGACGTACCTCAGTGGTTAAGTACCCCTGGGTTTAATATCTAGTACCAAAAAATAATTAAACAAATAAAAATAAAATAAATATTTGAAGGGCTAGGGCTGTAACTCAGGGGCAGAGCACTTGCCTAGCATGCATGAGGCACTGGGTTCAATTCTCAGCACCACATAAAAGTAACAAATAAAACAAAAGCATGCTGTCCATCTACAACTGCAAAAAATAAAAAAATAAAATAAATATCTGAATCTAGTGATATAAATATGATTACATAAATAATTATACAGGGGAGAATAGACCAATATCCTGCATAGAAGAATTTCTAATAATTTATGTAGATACTCTATCCTCAAGCATGTGGAGCATTGCTGCCCATTCTGAAAGTGGATTTCTCAGAGTGACTTCATTCCAAAGAGCAGAGCATGGAAGGAGGGGAAGGAGAAAGCCCACAAGCACTACCTCAACCAGGTGATGAGGTTAAAGCTGTTGGTTTGATACTATGGACCCTTGATATGTGATGAAAATAACATGGTCTTCCTCCTCAAATCCCCAAACTCAGTTAATCATAAAGAAAAAATTTTAGACAAAACCCAATTGAGGGACATTCTACTAAATATATGACCACAACTATTCAAAACTGTGAAGAATGGCTAGCAGTGTAGCTGAGTGGTAGAGCATGCTCTACCCCCAGCACAAAGAAAGAAGGAAGGAAGGTAGGAAAAAATGGGTGCGGGGGAGGAAAGAAGACACAATGAGTAAGTATAAGGAGCTATGCACACAGGGGATCCTGGGACAGAGGACATCAGGTAAAAACAAAGGAAATGTGAAAAAGCAAAGTTATTTAATAAATATCAACATTTATCCATTATAATTAGTTATTAATTATAATAAATGAACTATTAATTATAACAAATGTATTTCTAATTATTAATTATACAAATTATAACAAAATGTTCTAAAATAAAGTTCACTTAAAAAATGAAGTATCATTAAAAAAAAAAAAAAAAAAAAAAGAGGTCTATGCCTGTAATCTAGTTGGTTGGGAGACTGAGGCAGGAGGATCCTGACTTCAAAACCAACCTCAGGAAATTAGCAAGGCCCTAATCAACTCAGTAAGACCCTGTCTCTAAATAAAATACAAAAAGGACTGGGGATATGGCTCAGTGGTTGAGTGTCCCTGGATTCAATCCCTGGTGGGGGGGCGGAGTATCTGAGCAGAGTATGGTGGTGTATCCTGTAACCCCAGCTACTCGGGAGGATGAGGAGGGAAGATCACAAGTTCAAGGATCATAAGTTCAAGATCAATTCTAAGAAACTTGATAAGACCTCTCAAAAAGGGGGGGAGGGGTGGGAAAGAGCAGGAAATGACCTTCAAAAACCTATTATCAGTATTAGACATTTTCAAAAAAGATAGGAGAGGTGGCTGAGGATGTTGCCCTGTAGTAAAGCACCCCTGGTTTCCATCCCTATTACAAAAAAGGGGGGGAGAAGTTTTTGACTATGATAAAATTAGTAATCTTAAAGAGACGTGGGGCATAAGAAAGAAATTTATTCAAACCTGCTCGATTAATAGGTAGGGTAGTTGATACATAGTCTCAGGTAACATGCAAAAGGATGACCGATTAGACTTGGAAGGAAAAAAACAGCCAACTTCAGGCTGGGGTTGTGGTTCAGTGGTAGAGCACTCGCCTAGCATGCTCGAGGGCCTGCGTTGGATCCTCAGCACAACATAAAAATAAGTAAACAAAATAAAGGTATTGTGTCTAAGCAAAAATAAATAATAAAAAAACAAAACAAGGGCTCGGGTTGTGGCTCAGCGGTAGAGCGCTCGCTTGGCACGTGCGAGACCTTGGGTTTGATCCTCAGCACCACATACAAAAAATAAGTGAAAAATAAAGGTGTTGTGTCCAACTACAACTAAAAAATAAATAAAAAACAAACAAACAACAACAACAACAAAAACAGCCAACTTCATTTAAAGTGGCTCCTCTTATCTCTGCTCTGAACATTTCTAGCATGTCTTCTGACCGACTTCCTTTATATATTTAGTTTGCTACCCCACAAGAGATTTCCGCTGAAGCATGTACATCCCACTGGCAACTCCCCTCCATCTCTCAATTAAGGACTGGAAGAGCAGGGCATGGTGGTGCACACCTATATCCCAGTGACTGGGGAAGCTAAGAAAGGAGGGTCACAAGTTTTAGGTCAGCATGAACAACCTTATTGAGACCTTATATTTCAAAATAAAAAATAACAAGAACTGGGAATATAATTCACTGGTGGAGCACCCGACTTCAACAGCAAAACAAAACAACTGGAAGAGAAAACGAACCATTTGCAGCAAGTCCCAGAAATCACTTATTTTCCTATCCCACTTTGATTAGGTAGTTACCTCTGGTTGCATTAGCTGTGAGTAGAGCTATATATGTCCACTGGACATTCATGGGTTTGGATGGCTTCTTGGAGGTAAGAGATCAGGAGATAGGCAGAGCAGACCCCCTGTAATAGTCATTAACCAGGACCGAAACCCACATTTTGGGCCTCCCAGTCGAATACTTTTTCTATCTGAATAATCAACTTATTAAAATTACTAAAGCGCACAATGGCATAAGCCTGTAATCCCAGCGAATCAGGAGACTGAAGCAGTAGGACCTCAAGCTCAAACCCAGCCTCAGCAACTTAGAAAAACCCTGTCTCAAAATAAAAAGTGCTGGGGATGTTTATCACTGATTAAGCACTCCTGGGTTCAACCCCAGGTTCCAAAACATTTTTAAAATAATTTTAAAAAATAAAATTACCGAAGTTAAAAAAAAAAAAGCTCTTTCCAGATTTTCCATTGAAAAGCTGCTAGCAAGACACACACATGTCACACTCTGCATTAAAATAGTGTACTATGTATACATGAAAGATTTAACAAATTTCTACAGTACAAATAAGCAAAAGTTAGCATCCTTGAAGAATCTTCATTATTTTTCACAAAGAAAGCAAACTCTTCCTTAGGATTCTCTGAAGGACCTGTCCACAGTTTAAATACATATAGGAAGATAGGGCAATTATTTTCTCACATAAGTAGAATAAACTTTGGTTTTGGGGCAAAGGAAAGCTACTGATGTTCACTAACCAGGACAAGAAGAATAAAATGAAACTTCTGAGACAACTTTGTTACTCTAAACTTACAAAGGTAGAGAAATAAGGTATAATAACCCAAGAATAAAACAATTCAGAATGTAGTAATATTATTGGAATATGAAACACATGTTGTTTTTTTTTTTTATTCCTATATTCAACCTTGTGCCATGGAGACCAACAGGTTTTTTTGTTTTTTGTTTTTTCTTGGTACTGGGGATTGATCCCAGGGGTGCTTTACCACTGAGCCACATCCCCACCCCTTTATATTTTGAGATAGGGTCTCTAAATTGCTAAGTCTGGCCTGGAACTTGGGAGCCTCCTGCCTCAGTCTCCTGAGTCGCTGGAATTACAGGTGTGTGTCAACAGGACAAACCATCTCTTTTATTAATATCGTTACTATTCGTAACAGTAATAGATTCTCACCTTATTTGTCATAAACACTTGATCCCCAGGTGTTCACATGTACAGCACACTATCAGGAGTATATTTAGGATGCACTCCAGTAAATATATTAGACTTCTCATAGACGTGGTTAATCTAAACAAACAACAAAACTGAACTAAACATACCCAACTTCGGAATAACAAATTACTTACAATGCACCTCAAATGGAATTCTCCAGAAAAAATGTTTAATAAGGTTGGAAATTTCAAAAAAAAAAAAAAATTCAAACATTTTTGCAAGAGCTTTGGAGAAAAATGAGCACAAGGACACTTCGTGGGAATTTGACACATGAAGGAATAACATTCAAATACAAAATAAACTATTCTGAATTCCTACTGGTTGGGCTGGCATTTCTTTAAAAACAGTGAAGATGTTACATTTTCATAATGTATTTCATGGCAGCCCCGACATAAAAACTCCTCTCTGGTAATTCGAACTGGGTTAGTTGCAACGGTTTGAGCAGGTGCAGTCCAGAGAAAGACTTGCAGTTTATCCTTTTATCTCTTGAGAAACGGGTTTTGCAGCACGAGGTAGTTGCTCCCTGGAGCATCTATTCTCTGCCCTGTTCGTCCAAACGGAGAAAACAAAGGACTCGATCCGGGAATCGAGCCCAGGTCACCAAGCCGCGGAGTCGCCCCGCGCGGGACCCCGAAGCTGTATGCCCCTTAGCTGGCGAGGCCCCAGCCTGATCGATTACGCACTCGGCGCCCCTTCGCACTGCAGCAGCGGCACGGTGCTGGCAGGCGAGGCCGGACGGACAGCGGCGTTGGTCCCTTACGCACTCTCGGGGCGCGGGGCCCCCACACTCACCATCTCGATGATCTTGGTCTTGCGGCCCGTCTTCCTCTTCAAGGTGAATATGTACTGGGCGAGCACCACCCCCGCCACCAGGGCACACACGCTGGCGCTTGCTACCGCGCCCACCCTAGCCACGGCTGCCCGATCCATGGACAGGCCCTAGTGTGCCGTCCGCCCGGAAAAGTAAAGGCCACTAGCCAAGGCTGCGAGCCTCGGAAGCGCGGGAGCCGTGCACGCCGCAGAGGCACGACGCCCCGCCCAACGCGCCGCTCTACGCGGGCTCGCCCCGCAGAGGCCCCGCCCACGAGGACAGAGGGGTGGGGCCTGCGCCCGGATCCCCCGTGGGCCGTGGGGCTTTCCCACAGCCTGGTTCTAAGGAACTGCCACAAACAGAGAGAACTGAGCTAATTCTCTCTGCTGAAATCTAGTAGGCAGTGCTAACGAGCTCCGCCCAGTCGACATCGGATTCCAGTCGCGGCCCACCCAGAAACCGGTCTCCGCCTCCTGGGCCTCAGCCTCTCTGGACTACAGCCCCCAGTAGGCTGCGCGGCCGCAGCGTGTGACTTGCGCAGTAGCGTCCGTTGTAAAGTGCTATGACAACCGGGCGAGGGCTTGGAGTTAGGCTGGACTGGGGAGGTGTCCCTTCCGCTGGTCAGCCGTTTTCTGCTATCTTGCTCTCACCGCCTCCTGCATCTTTCCCTCCTCTGTGTGAGCAGCGGGACTTACAGTTGTTCTCGCCTGCCGGTCTCTTCCAGGGGATAAATGTTTCCCCTGCTTGTCTTTGGGGGGTGACGGGATACAGGGGAAGCTGGGCACGATGGCGCACGCCTATAATCCCAGCAACTCGGGCGACTGAGGCAAGTTCCAGGTCAGCCTCGTTTAGCAAGGCCCTAAGCAATGAAGTGATATCTTGTCTTTAAAAGTAAATAAATAAAAAGGGCTAGGGATGTAGCTCAGTGATAAAGGGCCCCTGGGTTCAAAATCTCAGTTCATCCTGCCCCCCCCCCCCCCAAATAGGAGAAAAACAGTTTACATACGTGCTTATGGGAGGGCCACAAAAATTCGACACTTAAATGGCCAAGTGATTGAGGTTTATATATCATCCTGAGCCACTGAAGGGAAGAAGAATCTGACAGTTCTGTACTGGCTTGGTGGGTTCTTGTGCCCTTCATCAGTAGAATCAGATATAAAGACACAACTGCATTGGAAAAAAGAGTAAATTGGAACTTCTTGTTCTGGCAGAAGGGAGAAACAGCATTGGCCAAGAGAATATCAAGCTAGTTTCAAAGAGAGATAGTCTGACAAACGTGAAAGGTGGTAGGAGTGGCGTTTTAAGTGCTTTCAGTAAACATCAACCTTGAGGAAGTAGTCAGTGGTTCATCCTATTGACAGTATTTCATACTAATGCCATGTCCTGGATAAACATCCTTTCCCCTGTGATGAGGATGAGTTGACGTAGCTGTTAAGAGAACATATAGGTGAGAAGTGGAAGAAAACACAAATCTTGGAGGTCCCAGGAATTTGCTGTTTTATTGACTCCTCAACAGTTTTATTCATTATGTTGTTTGACCTTGGATATTCAGGGGGAGAGTATCTTGGTTTTAGTGATGCACCTAGTTTCTGATGCTGACAAGACAGTGAATAAGAGGATAGGAAAAGGCACATGGCATGCTCTGAATAGCTAAAAAGCCATGATATAAGGTGGGAGAGCAAGGAAAAGCACATCCCTGGCTTTCAATAGATAAGAAACTATGAGTTAATGTTCCTGGAGTCCCTTTGCTCTTTTGATATGTGGGGGAGCAAGTTTGAGGGCACAAGCTGTATCATTTGACCCCACCCCCAGTTTTTACTGTTAATCTTAAGGGGGTACTGCTTTTCATGATGGTCCTATAAGGGGTGGTGAAAGAAAATTATGGGCTGGGCTAGTGGGGCATGTCTGTAATTACACAACTTGTGGGGCTGAAGCAGGGATCACAAGTTCAAGGCCAGCCTCAGCAATTTAGCCAGATCCTATAAAAAAAAAAAAAAAAAAAAGATTAGAGTTGTAGCTCAGTGGCAAAGCACCCCTGGGTTAAGGCCTCAGTTTAAAAGAAGAATTACGTGAGAAGTAATATATTGTGACTAAAGAAAGGTTGCCTTGTGCACATGCAAGTCTTGGGGCTGAGAAGTAACTCAGTGGTATAAAGTTGTAAGAAGTAACTCAGGTGATAAAAAGTTGTCTATTTCTTTTTTTCTTTGTGTGTGTGTGTGTGTGTGTGTGTGTATGCGCATGCGCCAGGGAGTGAGCTCAACCCTATTTTGTATTTTATTTACAGATACTGAGTTGCTTAACACCTCACCATTGCTGAGGCTGTCTTTGAACTTGCTATCCTCCTGTCTCAGCCTCCCAAGCCACTGGGATTACAGGTGTACACCCAGCAAAAGTTGTCTATTTCTGGTATAGACACCTTTACCAATGAAAATGTCCTTTATGGATGTAAATATTATCTACACAAAAGAAGTTTCTTAATTTAAACAGTTGAAGAGGAGTAGTTAAATATATTTTCCTGCTTTAACTGGTTCTCTATCTCATATTTTATCACTGAGCTACATCCCCATCCTTTTTATTTTTATTTTTAGTCAGGATCTTACTGAATTGCTGACAATCTTCAATAAATCCTTGAGGCTGGCCTTGAATTTGTGGTCCTCCTACCTCAGTCTTGAGTCACTGGGATTACAGATGAGTGCCACCCCCCTGGCAAATAAGATTTTTAGATTTTTTTTTCCAGTACTGGGAATTGATCAAGGGTTTCTCACATGCTAGGCAGGTGCCCTGCTGTTACTGAAAACTTGGTCCTTGTCCCCAATACTAATTCATGCCAATTTAATAATGAGGACACAGTTGAGAAAAAGGAAAAAGAAGTTTTATTGCTTTGCTAGCAAAGGAGAAGCACAGAGGACCCCCATGCAATTTAGGTGTGCTCTGATAGTAGGAGGAGGAAAGGGTGTCTCTTCCGAGGTGTGCCCTGATGGAGTGTTGAAATTCACTTGTTAATTTGGGAGATAGTCACTTCCTAGATCTTCCAGTGACATCTCCTTCCTGTGGTAGTTGTACACTGAAGGATCTGTAACTCAGCCTAGGAGAGGAAAAGGTAATCTTGTTCCCTCCCACACCCCACCTCCACTCCCTGGTTAGGAGAGAGAGAGGGTGTCATGAGGGGGCAAAATTGTGATGTGTATGCAGTCCAGGGAGAAATAAAGAATGTCCACATGCTTCTGCCCCTTTCAATGCTTTATTCACTCAAATTACTCAATACAATTTCACTCTATAGGTTCTTAATCAAGAAAACACAATCCTTAATGTTAGGCACAGCAATAGACATAATCAATTCACAGCAAACAATTCTATATTAATAAATTCACAGCAAACAATTCTAGATTAATTCTAAGCACTGCAAAACACACTTAATCATGACAGGCTAATGTTAGACATTTCCTCTGCATGCTAAGTTCAAAATTCTTAAGCCTTAGGCTTTATGTCCAGTAGATACACACTCACACTCACTAGACCACAGTGATCAGGTCTGAAACCAAGGCAGGCTTTTCCTGATGTGGAGGGGACAACTGGTTGAGGAGAGGGTCCTAGGGAGAAGTTACGGCTCTCACCAGGGTCCAGATGAGGTGGTAGAGTTAGAGAGCAGTAAGGATCACACAGATGATCTGGAAATGATGACAAGTAATGGGATGTCAGGTCCTCATCAGGCTCTCCAGCCCAAGTGCATCCTTGTTTCAGCTGGCTGAATCCCTGTTCTTCAGCTCTATTATTTATACTAATCTGGGGGGCTTTTGACCCCTGCTTTCAATCCTTATCAGCTACTACTGTATTTCTCCATGACATCATTTACCCTGGGGTCAGAAACATCTGGTCTGACATCTCCACCCTGATCTTTCTTCGGCCTTTCCCTCTTATCAGGCGAAGACAGCCTGCCAGGGGCTCTACTCTATTTATCAGACTAAGGGGAAATAACTTGTCTGAGGCCATACTGGAGGGCTCTGTGGGTGTGCCTGGTGAAACTGCAGGTTTCAAACTGTAATTTTTAAAATGGAGTTGCTTAGGCTCAGGCCTAAGGCCATCCTCACATTGGGAGAGGAGGGAAAGAAAGAAAATGTCCCTTTTAAAATAAGGAGTGAGCCTTGCAGTGGCACACTCCTGTAATCCCAGCAGTTTGGGGGAGGCTGAGGCAGGAGGACTGAGTTTAAAGTTAGCCTCAGCAACAGCAAGGTGCTAAGCAAAAATCAGTGAGACTGCTGCTGAAAGCTCAGTCCTTGTGCCCAATGCCAATCCAATAATGAGGACATGATTTTGAGAAAAAGGAAAAAGGTTTATTGCTTTGCTAGCAAAGGAGAAACACAGGGGAATCCTGTCCCAAAGGCTGAGATTCTTCCCATCAGCAGGAACAGAGAAAATGAGATTAGAGAGGAGAGATCAGGAAGAAGATCAGGGAGGAGAAGGTTAGGGAAAAGAAGATCAGGGAAAAGTTTAGGGAAAGAAGATCAGGGAGGAGAAAGTTGGGGGGAAGAAGATCAGGGAGGAAAAGGTCAGGGAGAAGAAGTTTGGGAAAAAGGAAAAAACGTGTAAGTTTCAAAGTAACAAAGAGATAGTCAAAGCATCAAGTGAACCTCTGTTACAAGACCTTATCTCTAAATAAAACACAAAATAGGGCTTGGGATATAGCTCAGTGGTTGAGTGCCCCTGAGTTCAACCCCCAGTACCAAAATAAATCAATCAATGAATAAATAACAAAAAGTTAAAAAAAAGCTGGAGATGTGAAGGCAGGCATGGTGATGCACACCTGTAATCCCAGCAGCTCAAGAGGCTGAGGCAGGAAGATCATGAATTCAAAGCCAGCCTTAGCAATTTAGGATGGCCCTAAGCATGACCCTGTCTCTAAAAAAACCATTTTTTTTTCAAGGCTGAGGATGTTCCTCAGTGGTGAACTTCCCCTGGGTTCAATCTCTGGTACCCCCAAAATAAATAAAATAAGCAGTGAGGGGTATATTCAAAATGAGAACTGGGCCACTGTTATATTTGTCCTGATGCTAAAGTAATAATGAGGACATGGTTTTGAGAGAAAAGGAAAAGGAAAAAGAAATTTTATTGCTTTGCTAACAAAGGAGAAACATAAGGAACTCCTCTTGGTGTGATCCCTGAAGCCTGGATTACTTTTTTTTTTTTTTTTT